ATAGGCGTTAGAGCTCCTTATCTTAAAAGATACGCTAAGGGACGTCGGGCGTACCCTTAAGGGGGGCCGGGACCCCGGCCGCTCTTAGGGGGTTACCCTCCGCCCTTAATAGAGTAGCGCTAAGGTAAGTCTAGAGCACCTTATCTAAGATTATCTATATATCTCGCGTATTAAGGTCTATAAAAGTAGGCCGGTCCTACTCTCTCTATAAGAGGGCGTCTAGGACTATAGCCTCCTTACTTAGTCTATACTTAATATAGAACTAAAAGCGTAAGAGATACTTTACTTAGCGCGCCTATTACTCTAAGAAATACTATTAAGTTATAAAGTATTTAAGGTTCCTATAGTCTATAAGGATCTTAAAGCTCTTATAGCTATAGAGCTCCGCCTACTACTACTTAAGGTAGCTAATAATTACTAATATCTCCTTATCGTAGATTAAGTAGTTTCTCTTTACCGCGGTAAGCTTATATAAGTAGAACGCTATTAGCTTCCTTTACCCTTTTACTTTTTAGGATAGGGTTCCCTTAAGTATATAGCCGCTATAGTCTGCTTTTATAATTAAGGGATTATCGAAGTCCTACTATAGTAGTACTAAGGCCTATAAAAATAAGCCCTTAAGGGCTTAGAACGCCTCTACTTATATAGGTCCTTAAGAGAAGGGGGCCCTATCCCTTATTAGCTTATTAAGCGGTAGTACGATCCGCGAGAACTCCTTAATAAAGACCTAGTAGTAGTTAGCGAAGCTAAGGAAGCTTTATATACCTCGTTACGATATTAGGGTCGCTTAGTTATAAATAGCTTAAATCTTAGCTAGGTTTACTTATATACCTATGCCCGCGATAATAATAAAGCTAAGGTATTTAATACGCTTAACGCTAAATTCGTATTTATCTAGGTCTAGGTATAAGCTATGCTTTACTAAGTAGTTTAGTACCTTTTATACCTTTTATATATAGTCTTCGTAGCTCCTACTTAAATAGATAAGAATATTATCTATATATATAAACGCGAACTTATTAAGGAAACCCTTAAGCACCTAGTTAATATAACGTTAGAATATAGCTAGGGCACTTACTAAGCTAAAGGGGGTAACTATCTACTTAAATAAGCTATATCTTATATAGAACGCTATCTTCTACTCCTCCTTATATACTATTTATACTTTATAAAACGCTTAAATAACGTTAAGCTTTATAAACTACTTTACCTTTACTAGGTTATAAAGGATCTCTCTTATAAGTAGAAGGGGGTACCGATCTAGGCGTATAATTGCGTTTAATACTTAGTAGTCTATATAGAAGTAAAGTCCCCCTCTTAGCTTCTATATAAATAAGACTAGAGCCGCTGCCTTAAAGGAGCTAGCCCTAATAAATCCCTTATCGAGGAGGTCTATAAAGGTCTTCTTTAATACTAATAGTTCCTCTTATAATATACTATATAGCGGCCTAAACGGTAAGGGAAGCTCCTTACCGTTATCCCTTATATAGAGCGGTATTAAGTAGTCTACGCTTAGCTTATAAGGGTTTAACTTATCGGCCCCGCTCTTTTAAAAGAGCGGTAGTAGGTCGTAGAACTATAGCGGGATAGCCTACTATAGCTCCTCTTTTAATATAGGGCGCTTTAGTCGTAGCGCTTTCTTAATTTACGCTAAGATAACCGCGTAGATTAACGCTATAGCTATAGCCGGCCCCTTCCGCCTATAGATTTACTATATTATACCTATAAATACCGAGGCTAAGACTTCCTAGGCGTCTTATAAGTTAAGTAAGGCGTCCGGCGCTCCCTCCCTACCGCTATACTAGACCTAGGACTATATAGGGCTAAACTATAGCCTCCCCTTATATAGTACCGAATATAACTTTATATACGTTAACTATAGCTTCCTAAGAATTAAGGGAAACTTAAGCTAAGGGACTATATATACTACTAGTAGCTATAGGAGCCCGTTAACCTCTATAGCTACCTAGGCAACGCTTTTAATAACCGCGCCCTCTATCGCGGCCGAGGCACCTTTTATACGCCTAAGGCGAATCTTCTCTACTAATAAGCATAGCTTAAGGGCTTTTACTTCGTTAATTATAGCGTAATACTAGTAACCCTTATCTATAAGGGTAAAGAAGAAGTAAGTCTAGTTAATAATAACTAATATTAAGGTAGGTTCTTCTTTAATATACCTTACTAAGTCCTTCTTAGCTAGTATTAGCTTACTAAGCTCTAGGGCCCGCCTTTATACTAGAGCTAAGCTTTTTCCTTCGCTTTATATATAGCGGAGGTTCCCCTATCTCTATTATCGTTAGATTCTAATAAAGCGTAGGTAACCTATATCTCTATTAACCTCCTTACTAAGAGGTAGGGGTAAGACCTAACTATATATATACTTACGCCGTAACGTATATAGCGGCCCTCTTTATATCGTTTACTAATTTCCTTATAGGGCACCTACTTAGCCGTCTTACCGGACTACGCCGCTAGCGGAGCGGCCGGGGTCTTACTATTGCCGCGCCCCTTAGGGCGTATAGCCGCTATCTAGACATCGCCGTCTATATCGACCGCCGACTTAGGAGCGGGCCCGGGCGTAGACGGGTTAAGTAAGGAGGAACTATCTAGCCCGTTAGTCCCGCTCGAGGCTAAGCGCTTATATAGCTTTTAGAAGCGCGGCGTTTGCTCGTAACCTTAGGCTACCTTTATAAGGCGGGCTACGTAGCCCTCGTAGGTAGAGGGCATTATAATAAGGATAAGCAGCTCCTAGAGCGCCGGGGAGATCGAGTTCTATAGCTAGGTAAGCTTAGCGCTATTATCCTAGGCGGTATTACCCGCCGCTCGGGTTAGGGTCTCTTCGAATTCCGGTAAGAACTCCTTAAAGGACTACCCTTCTTACTAAGTAAAGGTCTATAGCCTATCCTATGCCTTCTCCTATTCCTATACGTTACTAAAGGTATAGACTAAGTAGTTAAAGAATACTTAGGGGTCTTTCGTCCCTCTAGGACCGCCCTGCTCCTAGAAGCCTGCTACTTACTATATCTAGGGCTCCGGTAGCGTATAGAGGAGCGAGAACTAAGCCGTCTCTATATAGCTATTAAGGCCCTATTTCTCGTTAATATAGTATTTCGCTATTAGGCAGTTAAGGAAGAAGTAAAAGGTCTTTAGCTTACCGTCTTAGGTAGGCTAAGGTAGTAGCTTCTATCTACTAAGGGCCGCCTTACGTTCCGACCTCCCGGTAGCGGGGGGCGTATCTATTAGAGCTAGCGTTAGGAGGGTATTAAGGATCTAGTATAGGGTTACTTATTAGTCTAGGTCTTATAATATCTAGTAGAATAGCTTTATAAACCGGGCTTATTCGTCCTATTACTACTAGGCCTCTTCCTATAGGTATTACTAGTATAGCTCTTCCGCCTATTACTATAGCTATTAGTACTAGGCTTCTTCCTATAGTAGCTACCACTACTACTACTACCCTAGCTAGTACTACTAAGGTTCTAATATTAGGTCTAATATAAGGATAGCTTATATTATTATAGGGTAGGTAGAGGGTTATACTATAGGTACCTTCCGTTATATTATAATAATAAGCTATATAGGATCTAACTATACGCCGCGCCTACCGCTGCTAAATACGCGTTTATACGTACGGCCTGCCCTACCCTATAACGCTATTAGCTAAGGTCTAGGCTAATACCTAGACCTATACTAAGGGTAAATACCTTTATATAGCCGGAGTTAAATATAGTATTACTACGTCCCGCTAATACGTCGTTCTACGCTAACCTTAGCTAGTAATTTATCCGCTAGTTCTATATACGCCGTTAAGCGTTATAGTATAGCTAGACTATCTCCGCTATTATTATCCTAGCTATCGATATATTATTATAGATAAAGAGCGACTAAGCTAACTACCTAAGGACGGTAATATACTAGATACTATCTCCTAAAGCTAGGTAGAGGCTGCTAATATAGGACCGGAGGAAGACTAGGAGGCAGAGCCTAACTTAGAGGACGCCACTGCGGTGCCGGACCTATTAGCTAAGGATACGGAGCTTAATGCCCTACGGTCTATTCTCGCGGGTAAATCCAAAGCGGATACGGAGCAACCCCTTACTATAGGCTCTCTAGGGCGGGCGTAGCACGAGCTCTAGCTTCCTAACATACGGCACACGCCGATTAATAAGTTTAATCGCTCTTATACCCTACTCTCCCTAGCATTCCCCTGCCTATTTCTAGACGGCAAAGCTAACTTTATAGAGCCTCGCTTGCGGTCGATTAAGTATAAGGAGTATATTAAGCACGCGATGCGGTGGCACGACGGCCGTTTTGCGCGCCATCCGACCTTCCGTTTTATCGCATTTAATACCTTAATGCGGTCCTAAGCACGTATATAGTCTAAATTCTTTGTAAAGCAACACGATAGTAGCCGTGAACCGCTTACGTAAGAGCAGCTTATTAAGGCACTCGAATATAGGGAGGATCCCGAAGCGTAGGCGCTAATTAACTCGATTATAAGGCATACGGTATCGATTCGCGGTACGCGCCCCCTTTAGAATAGAAAGAGGCAAGACCTAGAGGCATATGCGCACAATCTTAGCTGTCCCGGTGCATTTATTATATTTAGCCCGGCCGATTTATACTAGAGGAGCCTCTACTAGCATATGCCCCGATATAAAGAATGGCTAGTCGCATCCGAGGCAGAGAGGATGGCACTGTCGCGGCACCTTCTGCGGCAGAACCCTCATATTGCGGCTTTCCACTTTCACCGCCGATACTGCCACTTTCGGGACATCGTGCTAAGAACGAAATTCAATATCGTAGATTACTAGGATCGGTATAAATAGCAAGGGCGTGGGAGCCCACACAACCACGGTCTATACTAGATGGAGAATGGCCCGGTAGCCGACATAGGGGACGAAGCCGCTCGCGACCTTTTTGCACGCACGTAGGGGTTCCACATCACTACTATTAACCCGGAGCCGAGCAGGACAATGCCCTAGGGCGAAGGTAATCCCCTAAGTGTAGATCCGCTGGGTGTAGAGATGATATTCCTGCGGCTCTCGCAAATCGTCAACCGATGCCAGCGCCATAGATGCAATACCGCATACTGCTTGCGCGTCCGAAAGAGAAGTGGGAATCTGGCGAACGATATAGAAGGGGCTGTAGCCGATATCGAGGCGGCCAATGTCGCCGATCCGGAGAGGGAGTGTCGTTTTAACTTCCCCCGTGCCTTGCGGGAGCTAGCCGCAGTTATCAGGAAAGAAGGTAAGTCATTGTCGATAGACTGTTATTCTGGTACTCATGAGGTAGGGGCAGCACAAGAAGGGATAAAGATGCATGATCTAGCTAGAAAGAAGCGGCCACAGGGCCCTATTTATGCCGTAGTCCAGAGGGACCCTCAGGTGACTTACATAGGCACCAAGCTGGCCCCATACGTGAGGTCTTTATGGGTCCCTGATACATGGCCTCATAATGATCCTTCAGGTGGCCCTCCCTTGATCCTTCAGGTGACCTACTAACAGCGGTGCCTATACTAGCCGACAGGTACCATGCTTAGCAAACGCAGAGATCCGGATCATATCCTTCACGTCTGCATTCGTAACAAGAAATATTAGGTGGTGGTACACCCTTTCCCTTTGCCGTCTCATCGTCCGTTTCCGGCTCATCAATCGGTTCTTCAGTCCCTGGCTTTTCCGTCTCCTTGGGCTTTTCCTCGGGCTTTCCCGTCCCCTTGGACGTTGCCGCCTTGTTTCTCAGCTGTGGACAATATTCTGCCAAGCTTCCTCCTCCTACAGCTATCTTTAGGCAATCTTCATTCAACGAAATATTGCCAGACCCCGTCGCAGATGTGGGTTTTTTCGTCTTATCCTTTTGTTTCGCTGTCTGCTGCTCTTTGGGCCCCGGCTTTGGTATGCAATTGCATTCTGGGACTTTCGGGGATATACCGGCTGCCAGGCAGCGCCATTTTTGATTCCAACACGGGGGTGGATGCCAGCTCTTCGGTTTCGGTGGCGGATTCGTGTTCTGCGGACTTGGGTTCTCAATAGCAGATACCTGGCTGATGAAATTATCGCAGCGCTCCACCTCATTGGCTAAAGCCTCTTCATCCTCGGGAGGGTTATCCAGCATATTCTCACAGATCTTGATAACCTCATTGAGTTTGTCGACCGCTTCCTGCTCGATCTGGCGCTGCTTTTTCTGCTGCTCTTCCAGCCTGTCATTTTCCCATAGCTTATCACATGCCCTATCAACAGGATCTTTGTGCTGTTGCTCCCCTCGGAACCAACAGATGATCCGCAGCTTCCACTCGTTTCCGTAGATTTCTGGGACCTGCGGTCCTCCGATTGCCTCCTGAATGCTTGCCATTGTGTCGTCAAACCATGTTACAAGCGGTCCAATCGAGGGAGCCTCTTTCAATGCATCCAGTATATCATGCGCAAATGGGGCCAGTAGAACAACGACGGCTATCCCCTTGACCCCAGTTACCCGGACTCGAGATCGTGACGCCTTGAGTCTGCGCCATTTCGAGCAGTTGACGTTAGCCCGCCCGCATAATAGAGCCCGGCTTCCCGCTCGCTCCCTTTGCGCCGTTCTCCCCCCTTTCTTCCTATTGTCAAGTTTCAAGATAGGGTCGTTAGGAGCCTTCGGCGAGCCACTGAACTTGTTACCCACCCCACACAGCCCCCATTTATCAGCGCCATGAACGATCGTGTCGCACAGGTTTTTACCCGGTTTGCCCTCGCTCACCGGGATGGCGGTGGCTAGTCCAATAAGGGCAAGGCATGTTATTGTAATCTTCATTTTAATGATAAAGGACGGGGCTGATAACGAGGTTGGCTGTAAAGATAAGTCCTAGACCAGACGTGTCTGTCGACACTTCTTTTTGATAGAGTATGTGTACAATGGACTTAGAGAGCAGTAAGTAAGACTTACGGTACCTTACCGATTTTGACGGCAGAAGCAAACGGCAGGCCGTAGGGCTCTATTTATCTTAATATCCTTCGTCCTCGCCTACTTACCAGTGATTATATCTAATAGAAATCTAAATATTTTAATTTGAATCTTGAAACCGGCTTACTCGCGTTGCATGAACACGTACACTGGGTTGATTTAACTGCGCGTTTTGGCGGGGGCCGGTAGAGAACCCTCCGCACCAGATCCAAGACATGCCCCGTAGGATCCACGCAAAGCTTAGTGCCTGATCCACGACAAGCTGAACGGGAAAAAGGCAGACGTAAGTAGAGACTTGACCCACTAAAATTTAGTAGGCATGCTCTCCTGTACCATCCCGCTCCCTCCCTAGTCTGCCACGTCCCTCGCCGCCTTACTACTACTCGTAACCGTAACAATCGTGACGCCTTTTTCGTGCCTTTTCAAGGGTATCTACTACTAATTGCAATAGGTTCATGTGTTGGAGGAGACTGGTCGCCTCTAGAAGGTTCTATGGTCATGTCGACATTTGTTAGCTATGTTTATATCTCGCAAAGATTAAAAAAGGAAGGTAAGAGTCAATCTGTTCATTGTCATCTACCTAAAATGAATGTGAGAAGTTCTGTCTTCTTATAGTCCTGAGGGAATATGACTGCCTTGCGGTGGCGAATTTGCCACTTGCCACCCAGGGAGCTTTTGTAATGTTATCTAAAAAGTTCGATGACATCGCTTATCAACCGCGCATTTCATTATGCCTTGAGGAACGAAAGGATTATGCCCCGCGCCCGGACCACCCAAACTTTTTTCCCCTCGGACCGGGACAACGTCTTTATCGTCGTCCCGGATTCCTGAACCTTTCTCGACAAGGCCGCCGCCGCCGTCACCCCAACGGCACCGCTTCTCTCCACGCCGCAGAGGCAGCAAGCGTCCTCCGCTTCCGCGGCCTTTCAGGGTATGCGCGTTGCCTGTTTGTCTTTGGCCGCCCTGTCACCCTCCCGCTCAGTCCTCCACCTTTGGCTTCAGCTTCGCCCTCGACCGGCCCCCTTACGCCCACCCGAAGCGATATCGCCCCGAGCCTGCCGATACGCCGACGAAGCGACCGTATCTGCTGCATAAGGCCCCGGTGCCTTTGTCTCCCCGTAACCCTTGCCCGTCTGCCACTCAGTCGTTCTCTGTTTCGGCTGCCTCCTCGACGTCTGAGCCGGATAGCCCTAACGGGGTCCCGCCTTAGGGGACTCGCCCCTCGATTCGATTGCTGTGCATGGCTTGGGCTCGCCGGTCCGTCCACTTCGAAACCGTCACCTATCTAAGAAAGCTGCCGCTACTGAAATGGAATAGCGATGCGAAACCATATGCCGCTGCAGTTTCCTAAACGAGTAAGACTTCAATCTTCTACTTTGCATCCTAGTCCTTAGTCCTGCCTTAGTCCTATCGATTTTTTCCCTTCCGTCCTCAACCCCTTCTGTTTTTACTCTATCTTCGACTCTTCTCTCTCTTCCCTATAGCCTTTCGTTCCTCAAGGCTCTTTGCGCAACCCCGGTTGGGTTGCCTCTCCAGTTCAACCCGAAGGGCGTTCTATTCAGTTAGAAAGAAGAGCATAAAACCTCTTCTGATTGGCTACTTGGTCTTCCCTGTCCTCAACTCCTGCACGAATTGGTCGGCTGATAACGCCACCAAATGAAGGCCCACTACAAACCCCTGAGCGTTGTCTAGGTAACTAGCGAGCTCTCGGAGAGCTCGCCGAGAGCTTTCAGTTCTTCTTCTTTCAATGCAGCTAATTTATTAGTTTCTACTTTGTACGCAATCTTCTACTTCCCTTTTCAGCTGTCGTGGATCAGGCCTTTAATGTCAGCATGGCCGCAGGGCCCACAGCCAGAGAGCAATGGTTGTTGATGAGCTTTGCTGAAAACCGATTCATCAAGGCATTAAATAGACAAGGATATAAGGGATTTCCCGGTGATCTGCCGGATCTGGCGATTTGCCGGATTGTGGCGACTTCGCACGCTTAACATCAATCGACGATAGCTTAACAACCACGGTGCCAATTAACGTATTATTTAAGTTCCTAAATTATTAGAAGCAGTGAAAGTCTAGGATATATTTAGAACTTTTATCTAGCAGGCAGTGCGCTGCGGTGCTAACATTAAACTAAGCAACAGCTAAAATAGGATGCCGATAGATTATATAAGTTATTTCGGCTAATATAGCAAAAACAGAATATTATTAACTTTTATCTTAGGCTTTATTTATATAGGATTCTCCCTATTATATCTATAGTGCGGAATTTAGCTTAGGATACTATTAAAAATAGGGGTTAGAAGGGCGACCTAAATAACCTTATTCTACGCACCCGTAATAAGCTAGATTAAACGTAATTCGACGGTACGAGTATCTTCTAAAAAGAACCTACCTATGCGTCTAAATATAAGGTTTATTTTTAGCTTAAACTTTAGTGCGCGAGGCTCCCCTTTTATACCTAATAAGGAAAGACGCGCACGAAAATTAAGAAACTCGATACCTTGCCTTAAAATATATATAATATAGATAAAAAGAGCTTTCTATTCCTTGCGAGCATTTAAACGAATATTTTATTCCTCTTAATATAAGAAAATAAGGCAAAATTGCTCCGCGTATTAAAAATAGTAACCTATCCTTTATTACGTTTAAGATATATATTAGTTAAGAGATAGTATCGCTGCCCTTATTTCTTATCTACTAAGATAAGCTAGTATAAACCCTAGACTTTTAGTTAGTAAAATATAGATTAAGTCGTTAATAAATATTTTTAATACGTTAAATATAAGGTAGATAAATTATAATATTAGAAAGGAGTAGCTCGTTAGTATATTAGACCGGTTTATTAAGGCGAAGCTCGAAACGGTCGTTCTTTTCGCCTTTTCGTTACCTATAGCTACTTAAACATTTTATTATAGATTTTATAAAGTAGTATAACGGGCACTAGATAATCGCTATAGTGTTTCCTCCTTATTTTACTTATCGGCTATAACCCTTAATATATCGTTATTTAGCCTCTCTTAGTAGCGTATATATATAATCTTATTTATTTTAAAGATAAATAAAAAAGGTTAATTAAGTCGTTAAAAATAAAGCTCTAGACTATGTTTTAGAACGTATTTTAGGAACTAGTTAAGAGGACCTCTATTAATATTAGCTATAATAGCCGAAAGCTAAGTAGTACCCTCGAAAGCCCTTAATATAAGTTTTAAGTAATTTATATAAGAGCTTAAGTTAGAAGAGAATAGGTAGTTATAAGTACTAGCGTAGGTAGGGCGGTAAGGCTCTAAAAGATAATCTCTTTTACTATATAGATTATAATATAAACGAGGTATTTAGCTCTATAAAAGTAGCTTAAACTCGCTAAAGGAATATAGCTTAAGGACCCTAATAAAAAGAAGAGGCTTTAAAGAAGGAGACCTAAAGGTTTTAGTAATAAAAGAAAGCGGCGGAGTAAAAGCTTTCGCTTTATAAAAGAGGAAGTAATAAGAGGCGGAAATTAAGAAAAAACGATAGATAATAGAGGCCTTAAAGTAAAATATAGAGATAAATTAGTACTATTAATAAGAGCTAAAGATTTTAACTATAAAAAAGCCTTAAAAGATATAGAATAAGTAATAGGTAGCTTCTAAGGGTTACGTAAGGAGTTAAGATACTTATACTATAGAAATTATTACTCTTTTATTTATACTAGAGCGGACTATAGTATTATAGGTACTAAACCTACTATATAATAACGTAAATAATAAGGCAATAATAACTTTAAACTATATATCTATTATAGAGTAAGTAGAGGCGTAGGTATAGGTGCTGTCTATAGGATAATATTAATAAGCTATATAGAGCTCTCTTATACGCGGCTAGCCTATATATATATATATAGGATCCGGCCCTTTATATATAACTATATAGCTTAGGCTATAGCCTAAGCCTATAACCTATAATAGTTAAAGACTCTTATATAATACCCTCCCTTAAGCGTAGCGCGGCGTTGCCTTATTAACGGCTTCTATACTATTAAGCCTATACCGCTAGCTCTACCCTACCCTTTCCTATTAATTGTATAGGCCCTACTAGCCTTATTATCCCCGCGCTTATTAGCCTAGGCAGCCGGAACCGGGCTCTATACTTATCGGCTAGCTAGCCGTTTAAATAAGGGCGCGACCTATTATATACGCCCCTAGGTAGCCGGCGGCCGTCCTAGACCTACGTAAGCCTTAGGTTACCTATTCCCTCGGCCTTAAGCAGCCTCCTTTACCTAGGGGTATATAAAGCGGCATCCCCCCTTTCCTTTATCCTTTCCTTTTCCTCCTTCTTTAACTATAGTAATAGTAGTAATAAGTAAGTTTTACTCTACCTAAGGTATTAGTTCGTTCCTAGCTATATAGGCCGCTTTATTAATATATACTTATAGTAGTAGC